AAGCAACCCCTCCCAACACTTGGAACTTGAGCACAAATCAATAGAGTTATCGAGCCAGGCAATGGATATTGTTTCACTGCCTTAATATTAAACCATTTTAATAAATAGCCTTTCACGCTGCTCACTCGAGAGGAAATAAACGGAATAAACTAGATGAAAACGATGCCCACATTCAGGAATCCAGCGCTCACACTTGTTTGGAAACACAGCTCTGATGTAAACACGCACGTACGCACGCACGCAGCCGCAGCCTCGGATGGGGAGACGGAGAGCAAGCGCATTCACAGGCCCACCTTGGACCCTGCAATGGAGAGTGAGCCATCTGTCCCCCTCCCCCCTCCCCGCAAGAAAACACCTCCAGTGAGTCCGACTTTAACAATCATTCTGATATATATATATATAAAAAGAAGCGGGGGGAAGCTATCATAAAAAGAGGCCTTTAATTAAATGGAATTGCCACTCTGGGATCTGCCCTTCATGCTTGTCAGCGTCCTCTCAAAATAAACATCTCAGAACGAGGCCTCGGCGGTGTCACTTTCCCACAGGCAAGGCACGCTGGGTAATCCCCAGGCATCTTGACAGCTACATAATGTTCAAACGGTTTCACGGGTGAATGGCGGCCATTGCGTGAAAGAAAATATTAATGTCTGGAATTAATAGAAAAAGGGAGCAGGGTTTACAAAGCCAAACAAGGAAAGTGAGTGTCAAGTTAGTGCAGCGTTAATTGTTAGGGAAAATTGGAGAAAGGGGAGGGGGGGGGGACATTGTGAGTCTGTCTTGGGGCCTAAGTGCTCCGCTGTCAGAGAAGTTACATCTCAACTAGGCAGGTTCTGAAAGGGGACCGGCTGCTCGGAATGCAACTCCCAGATGACACACATGATGAGATGACACCTGAATGGGTGGACTTTAACCCTTTCCACTGGGAGCGCCATCCACAAGGAGGCTCTTTGGAATAAAGAGGTAGCGTGGTACAACAAGGAGAGAAGGAAACCAGGTGCCGCCACTCTGAGTCTGCGGCAAGTGCACCATGTAAACCTGAGCGAGTCGCACCACCCCAGGTTTAGAAAATCATCCTATTCAGGAGTCGACTGCCTATCGCTATGTGCTGCAACATGGGTGGACCTTGAAAACCTTACAACTCAGGGAAATAAATCAGTCCTGAAAAGCCAGTAGTGCCTCGTCCCACCTACAGGAAATACCCAGACCTGGCAAATGTCTAGGTAACAAAACAGATTAGTTAGGGGTCACTGGAAACAGGAGGGAGCGAGGCAGAGGGCTTTTGAACTTTACGTGGGGCGAATTTCTAGTAAGGCTGATGGGAAGTTTTGAAAATGAAGAGCTGTGATGTTGCTCCATAGAACACCGCAGGCGTGACGATGGTCACTGAATTGCAACGTAAAAAAGTTGAAATGGCAAATGTTTTCTGACACAAACTGATGGCTGTGGAGTTTATTGCAACTCACGGGGAACCCCAGAAGGGTCAGAGTCCAATTATGCGCCATAGGGTTTAGAGTGGCTGATTTTTTCAGAAGTAAATTGTCAGGCCTTTCTTCGAAGGTGACTCTCGGTGGACTCAAACCTCCAAACTTTCAGGTGGCAGCTGAGCACTTAATGGTCCGTGCTACCCAGATCTCTAGGGCCCACGGCGACCTGCTCCATTCTAAGCACGCTGTGGGTGCACATAGAGGCGAAGCGAAACGAACTGTGATCCGCTGGCTCCCCAAATTGCTGTTCTCATTTATACCTGGAGGAGGGCGGAGGCATGGCATGGCGGT